AGAGGAAAATCGTGGATGGGCCATGTCGTGGGCATTATTCAGCAGGTGTTCACTTGAGGACATAGAAACTGGTGAACAATAGGTACAAGCACCAACAGAGTGAGACACAACCTTTTCTGTCTGCATCCATCTAGACCAGCGGTTCTTATTTTGCAGGTCGCAACCCCATTTGGTGGAAAGGAAGGGGGGGAGGGGGAAAGGGGGGTTCCCGACCGGCATTTTCACAGGGGTCAGATAAGACCATCGGAAAACACATTATTATAGAAGTTAAGAAGGAAAATAGTTGTTTATGAGGCGCCACAACATGAAGCAGCTGTATTAAAAGGTCGCAGCATTAGGAAGGTTGAGAGTCACTGGTCTAGACAAAAAATGCAGACAAGAAAGTCCAGCCGCTTATGAGGCAGAAGAGCTTGATTTGATTTTCGAGAATTCTCTACAGGGGGATGCTGCCATTTATACAGATAGGTCTGTAATTCGCAATGAGAAGCAAGATTCGGATGCTGTTGCCTTGACCTCAAGTAGTCTTACTATGGAGGTCATGGTAGTGACCAAAGCAATAACATGGCTGGAGACACAGGCCGTTTACCGCGCATGCTTTCTCAGCAACTCAATAAGCTTGCTCAGGAAGACAGAGAAAGGCTGAATTCGAAGACAGTGGCTGGAGTCTCTAACGCGATCGGGACTGACACATATCAGTTTCATTTATGTGCCAGGGCACGCAGGCGTCCAAGGAAATGAGCAAGCTGATCAGCTTGCAGATAAAGCTTCTGTGGAGGGCGGACGAGCTATTCACCATGCTGATATTCCTAATGCTAATCGAGATGTATGACGTTTGCGAGAAACAAGTAATAATTGTGAATCTGCAACAATGCAAGAACAACATATTAAAGGAAATGTGGCTTGACAAGAGCACTATGCAGGAAGCCAAAGACGAATCAGATAAATATCGAGAATGCATGAGTTGTTAACCCTTTGGCTCGGTACTATGGGATATCGCAACCATTTGGCCTTGATTCCATGATAGATACCGTAAATCTGGGAGAAATGTGGCTGTTCTGCCTAACCCCGGGAGTGAACACGGGCCACAAGGAGTTCGTGAGCCGGTCACCACGAAGTCAGGGCTAACTAAATAATAACAGTCAGTTAATGCCGCATTTCAAGGTGTCTCCCACGCGCCTATACAAATAAGCTGAAACTTTTAAAAATAAATGATGACCATTGGGGGTGGGGAGCGCGTTGGGGTGGGTCGAGGACTAGAATTGTAGTTTAATTAGTATCAGGCGTGACGACGAAAAGAAAACATGCCAGCCTCCTTTCAAGGGTATAAGCATTATATAAATACACATTAATAATAATGTATTGAACGGCATGGGGAGTAATGTTTTTATCTCTCCATTTTATTCTCATCACACTTTTACAAAACCATATCTCAACAGCCCCACATAATTTCTCATTGTGCCGCTCTGTGGCTCAGAGGTTAGTGAAATAGTTTCACAATGCAGTCCTTGACGTTTACTACGGTTCACTCCTTTGGTGGGCGGATTAGAAATAAGATCACTCTCAAGGCCTATAGAAAGTCCCCCTTGTGGGTCCGGAACCCAATTGTATTGAAAAATAAGAATAGACCCGCTGCCTACACAATAGCATGTCATAAAAGTCGACTAATTGGGAGCTTCCTGCAAATTCGAAGTGCATCTGCCTGAGAAGCAAGGAACCAACAGCCTGTATGCTTTTGAATCAGATATGTCAAACGGATGCGCACCCAACGCCCAGGTTCTAGAACAGGACTACAGTCTGGGAGTGTACGAAAAACCCAAACTTTACACCGTTAATTTACCGCTGGTGAATTCGAAGAAGAAAGTGAAAGATACATGTTGGAGATATTATTTTAAACACTCAAGTTTACAAATAAACTATATACACACGATGTGACTTGTTATTGCATCCTGTCATTCTGAATTGCTAACTTTTGTTCAAAATGATAGAATTGTGGAGCTGAGCACTTCTGTTCCATACATACAAGCGGAGATGCTGAAACACATGTGATGGTGAACCAAGACCAGGGATCTTACTGATCAAGACCTGCGGAGCAAGCTCCTAAACATGTGCTGCAGGATTTCTCTGCCAACTCCTGGCAAAAGGGGAATCTGGCACAAGGGAGTTTCGTTGCCATACAAGCTGTGGGGGACTGGCAACAACCTCAGATTCACCGCCCTTTAAGTGACCCTTTAAGTCACCCACAACCTCCTGTAGTACTATAAGCTCTAGATGGCCGTGGCTGACCATGATATACTGAGCTGAAAACGGGAAATTCCGTTTATGTTTTGCGCTAAAAACGGGACATCCCTAGCAAGTCATTTTACACCCCACCCCTTTTTTCTCGTAGGTCACCGGTGTGGATAGGTATTTTACGAGTCCAGGAGGCCTTGGTATTTTACATAATTTGAAAATGTTATCAAAACCCGAACCACAGCCACATTAAAAAAAAAAAAAAAAATCACGAAATAATTGGAAAATTTTTTCAGACAGCTTGGAGAAAGTTGCTTTACTATACAGGAAGAGACCTGTAATATATGCCAGCAATACAATACTATAGAGCACTATTTTCTGGAGTGTAGGAAATATGAAAACCATTAATTGGCTTTACGAATCTCTGTAAATTACCTATAGTAAAGTAAAGGACACTTTTCCACGCCTTTAGGCGTATAGGGCATATGGGGTTAGATCTATATTTCTATAGACCAATCGGCACAAGATGGGTGATGTGGTCAGCATTCGCCGACCATCTTTACTTCCCGGGACTCCACCCTAAACCCACTCAATGTTAGGTCGACCTGGACGCCAAGGTCATTTTTGAAAAACGTCCGGCTTCTTCAGGAGCCACAATGGAAAACGTGTCTATTATTTTTACCTACCAAATGAAGGTCCGGAAACCTAAACGGAAATATTTAATTAAAATTGATAAGACTTTTTTCATGATGGGCAATTAAAAACATCTTTTTTGTTGTTGAATTTTTCACTATCAGAGCGTCTTTCACTTTCTTTAAATTGTCTTAGATAGTTTGCTAGATAACAACAGAAATAAGTTAGAAGCTACACTTGAATATGCACAGTATTCCGACCGCACCCCTTAAAATCGAATATCAACATCCGTTACAGGCGATACGCATTCATTTACCGGAACTCGTTGCTGTTAATTTAATTATATTCGATATTAGATACTTGAGTCATTTCTTGGATATCTATCTGTGAGGAAGCAAGTGTTGACATATTTTAGTTGTTTTGGAATTTAGAAATAAAATACTTTCAGTAGATAGAAGGTAAGTGAATTTATTTTAATTACACATATTAATGTTAAGCAGTGATAACACATGTTAAAAATAATATTAACTTCTGCCTCAGCGTGTACATATTAGTAGTTAAATTTCAATAAACAAACTTGAACAATCCTCAAATCTCGAACTGAAATGAAATAAAATACTATGCAAATGATCACATTTTACATTTTCCTGGCGAAAATGGTAACAACATGGATCTACCACATATTGTCTAGCGTGCATTATAAATATTACTTGATACTTGCCATCGAAATTGCTAAAGTTAAATTTAGTGATTATATTTAAAAGTTATTATATTTAATATACTTTCAATTTCCCCGCACACGCAATCTAAATAAACTGAGTAAAAATATATAATATATATTATTCGATTTCATTTTCTCATTTAGCTAGGTTTATGTATTTTTTAGGGGGGGGGGGGGTATATAACAAGGTATCAGCACACGAATCTACCGTTAAGGTTCGTGACCAATCGTGTTGCTGGGACATACATATAATATGTGGCATGAAAGGATCGTCTCATACTCATATCAACTAGTGAATTATTTATTTAATGTTAATTAACTAAAGCGTTTTTGTGTTTCAAGTCATTTGACACACAGAGACATTCGGGTGCCAGATTTTACTGGGCAGCATGCCAACTCCCATTTTCTGTCATTGTCCATTAGAATATTCGGCGCTTCTTTGAATCGTTCCCCAAAATGGTTGCTTTGATATGATGGCGTTCAAAAAGGAGCTAAATTGGCCAATTTCTGGCCATAAAATATCCAAAAAATATCCGAATGCGGGGTCAGTTCTATTAGAAATATGGAATGAATCAAAGGAGTGCCGAATATTCAGATGGTGGTTTCCGTCACAAGTAGTAAATGTGAAAGTCTTTGCAAACGGTTGAAAATTATAAGTAAGGTTTGCTATTTGAGTCTCAGTCCAGCTGTGTGTGATGACGGTTTCATAAGTAAGATTCTAATATATATAAACTTGACTAAGGTACTTACTTTAAAACTAAGAACTTCTTGGTATTGGAGTTACTTAATAATAGTGCAATATTAAATAATAATTATAAAATATAAATAACAATTTACAACCATGTATGGATAGTTCAGTTACGGACTGTTAACCAGAATCCGTATCGTCAGTGTAGGTTTTTATTTTTATGACAGTGATTGTTATTTCAATATTTGTTACAAATAATAGTGTGTTTAATAGTTGTGGGTTAGGACTAATTTTATATATATATAAGATGGTAGGACACCTGTTGCCAAACCTACACAGCACATGATGTCATGGCTGCTATTAGGAATTCATTCTGCTGTAGTACTAGATACCCCCCCCCCCCCTTCCTCAAAAAGATGTCGCGACCTTGATTAGACCAGAGTTATTTCAAATTCGTGGCTGCGGCTGTAATAACTACCCTGTGGTAAGTACCAGCACCTTTATTTTTTTTTCTAAAAAAAAGTCTAGATCATAGCACACTGAGAAATTTAACCAGAATGGCTAACAGAGGCAACAAATGCCTGAAGAAGTTGGCTGTATAAACCAAAAAGCACAAATATCGCAGCCATGCTGTTAATGGGTACATGTCTTTTCCTCTTCTTTTTATTCTCTGTGATATGCTTATTATATTTTTATCCATGTTTGACTATTACTATATTCAGACTCAGAATGGCATTAACTCCTGATGACTCTGTCAGCATAGCTTCAGCTCCTGATGATGCAGCCATCGACACATGCTCTTGTATCATTTGTAAGGAGGTAAGAAAAAAGATTTCTGCAATGTTCTTTGCTAGGGGTATGATTCAATTCTTCACATTGCTATATTGATGTACACACAGTTGCTAGAACACACCAGACGATGAACTTCAGTTATTGATCTTTATTTGCTGTAACCACAATCTCACTGACTATGTGCTCCCGGCAGTCTCGTGGTCGCTATGCATGGCTGATTCCTGGTGACCTTGTCATTTATCTCACACGTTGATTCTCTCCGGTCATATCTTTCGGATCATACATCTGTATCCTACTAACGTTTTGTACATGATGAAACAGGCATTCAAGAAACATTAATTTCTGCTCTCAAACAAGTACATGTGGTTATACATTCTCCATTCTCATCAGCTGTTCTCTCGCACATGACCGCACACATCCAGGTCCCAACTTCAACTGAGGCATCTCTTGTCACCATGCAACTATAATCAGCAAGCACTAAAGAGCTCTAGCTGGTCTATTTTAGTTGTTGACTAGTATTTATGGTTGGTCACTTTAATAAAACTGACATGGTGATCTAGAGGCAAGACTTTAGATGCACTGTCTCCTACAATGATAGCTCCTAGACCAATGAAGCAAAGAATAGTCAATACTTCTTCTTTCTTCTTTGTGTTCACCAGCTGTACACTCTGGCGTAAAGTTCAGGTTGTTCGTCCACTACTGAACTGCAGTCATGCTCCAGAACCTGAGTGTTGCATGTGCATCAGTTTTACAGATCTGATTCAATTGAATGCAGACTGCTGGTTCCTTGCCTCTCAGGCAGATGCACTCCGACTTCAAAGGAAGCTCCCCAGTTAGTCGACTCTTACGACATGCTTTTGGGGAGGCAGTGGGTCTATTCTTGTTTTCCCCACAATAGGGCCCTGGAACCCACACGAGGGGAGTCAATACTGAAATCTACAATTAATCTACAATCAAGATTGTAAGAGGTAATTAGGGAGAGTTGGTGGGAGACTGGCTAAATCACTCTGAAGAAAACAGCATAGTTTGACCAAACATTCCCTGTGTGGTGGCTGTCTCAAGTGTTGAAGTTAAAAAAGAAAGATTAGGACTTCTTAAAAGCGACAAGTTTGACTTCTGTCTTTCTATTATTTAAACTGAGGTCCATTCTTTTACTTTCTCCAATCAGTTTATCCGCCAATTCTCGTAGTTCGTATAGATTGTGGCAGCACATGATAAAATTAGATGGTAATAAGATACAGTGTAATTATGATATAAAGAGCATACAAAAGAACACACTTTATTTTTAAAGGGTTAAGAATTAGACATACAGACTCGTCATCTAACATTTTGCCTTTTTAATAATTGACATGTTGTCTCATTGCCACAGGCATATGAAATAATTGATGCAGATGCCAAGGCGGCCAAAAAAATGTGGCGCAGTGAGAGAAATAAACAACTCCGAAATTATTTCAAGAATGGGTCATGGGATCACGGCGAAGTCACACAGGAAGATTATCAGTCACTGTATATTGAACTGGAGATGGAAGAAAAAGAACTTGACAGTGAGTGGTTTGATTTCCAATTTCGTTGTGATTTTTCTTGTCAGGAAATATCTAGCCTATTTACTTACCATAACACTTATCAGGGATATATTGTTAAAATTTGTTTAAGATCAGATGGCAGCAGGGATTAATACCAAAGATTATGCATTCTTTCACTGTGATTGATACCCAAAATTATGTGCTCTTTCAGTCTTTTTTATTCTTCAGTTTTTCATTTAGAAGAAAGATACATTTTACAAGTGGACACGAAACATGCTGTGACAACAGATTTCAGATGATAAATTTTTCTCTGTCAATTCAGAACAGAGTTTATTTTTATGTGCAGTTACAAACTATACTGTAAGTGTTTGTAAAGAAAACGTTGCCTATGAACAAATGAAGAAGGTCAACACTATACTTATTGTTGTACTATATTGTAAAATTTTACATTTCTTATTGCAGAACGTGGGAAACTTCTGAATTTGAGGTTGAGATTATCAGATGCTAGGTTAAACTGGTAAGCAGACTTTTTTAAATAGAAAACCTGTCACATGATTCCTAATAATAATGTACCACCTCTCATTTATTCTGTCACATGTATATTTGTCTCCTTCACGTTCGCCAGCTGCAGACTGAGAGAGAGAGTTCTGGTTATTCATCCATTTCTTCAAAGGAAATGTTGACCAGGCTCTTAGAATCATAATAAACTGTTTCTAGGATGACTAGGAAGAGGTGTAGTTCTATCTGTCTTCTTTTACCCCACTAGGACATCACACAAACGATAAACACCCATGACACAAAGTGCTACCATGTGAATGAGGATCACCCGTGGAGAGGTCCGAGAAACCGCTTTCAGCCATTAGACCATATTTATGGTTGGGCTATATTGCGGCCCCTGGGGCCAAAAAAATTGCATTCCACAGGTGAATGACTAGAGATGTAGAGAGTTATAGATGGGTCTTGATCAGTATTAACCCTGTTCCTGTTTCACCACCACGCCGGAGGCTGCTATTGCTCTTTTCTCAACCCCCAGTGGCCAATCTTTACGAATTTCTTTGACTCTTATCCAGACTAGCTGTAGCAGGCTTTTACATCTTTTATTGTTCGACCAGGCTTGACTACACATGAAAAAAAAAACTGTTTGTAATGGTAGTGGTGTTAACTATCACTTGTTTGGGGGATGTTTCTCAACACTTATACCCCATGAATGCTTGCTGAAACATCTGTGCTTTAATGCCAGCCTTAGTAACACCTTTAATGTATTGTGCAAATCTTATAACTTAACCAGATGTAATCTACAATGTAAGTTAATATAGTAGCTGGAGGTATGTTGTCCTGTTCGTCACTTGTTACCCATTTACTAGTTTTAATTATTATGGCTGTCTTCTTCTTTGTGTTCACACCGGCTGTAAACTTGGGCTACAAATTCTGGTAGTTTGTCCACTTCTCAACTTGTTCCAGAACTTGAGTTTTCATTGCATATCCATTTTTCAGATCTAGCTTATTTGTATGCAGACTGTTAGTTCCTCACCTTATTAGTCGACTTTTACAACATGATTGTTTTGGAAGGAGCTGGGTCTATTTCCACCCCCCCCCCCCTCCCTGTCGTGGTGCCCAGTAGACAGGGAATTATGACTGCCATCTGGCTTCTAGTGATGTGTGGTACTGTAGGGTTTAATCATTGCCTTTATCAAATGACTCCCTGGCAACATATCTCTGGTGTCTTTTGACTTTATATTCCTAATCTGTGAAGATCTATATTACTGACTGCCTCCCTATTGTATTGAGACTAACTTAAAGGCAAAAGCTACCTGGCATGTGGGAAATTATGTTTCCTACCTGCTCTCTGATTCTGGAAATCTTTTTTACTATGTCACCACTGTGATTTCCTTATTTTGTATAAGCACGTAAAATAAGGTTGATGTTTTGTATTGTGGTTTACAGCTGGGCTGCGATATTTATGCCTATCAGCTCAACACATCTGATTTCAGCAAACTCTTTTATTGGTCACCTTGTATGAGAAGCTGGCTAGAGGTACAGTGAGTCTATTAAATCTCCTCCCCTAAATAGGATCTAGAGCTCCACACATGGAGCATTATCTAGTTTTACATCTTAAATTTAGTAATTAGACTGGCAATTGACTTTATACCAGCCCATGTTCTGTTGATAGTATAAATCAGTACATGTCATAAATATTTTTTTTAAATGTCAATACAGGGCATAAGTATTATTTTCTCTAATCACAAGGCTCATAATGACCGGGTGAGATAATAACGCAGTGAGACACAAGCATTTCATGGTTATAGAATTGGCTGTGTTACCTACCCCCATATATGCTCTTGTATAAATATGCATGTCAATATTTTAGTTTATATTTGATGCAATGTCCTTGTAATATTTGAGGCATCAGAGAAGGTTTGTATTGTACTGTTTTAATTATACTGATATTCAAAATCAGCAAAACTCTAAACAGAGATAAGTTGGCAGGAGTAACAAGAAGCAATAACATAAAGAAAAAAAAAATTAAAGACAGCTACGCTGAAGAAATACAATGAACACAGAGCCATGCAAAAGATGGAATGAAGATATGAAGAACATTCTTAAAGAAATAAAGACAACTGATATGACACATTGGAAAAAGCAAACAGAAGATCCTGCTATCTTCCCACAACAGTCCTATTATGCTCTTCATCTCTGTGATTCATCTTCTGTGGGATGTTATCCATGTGCCTTGATACTAGATACTTTCTTTACTTGTCCTGGAATAACGTCTTTGACTTTTATTACACATTTAGGCACCATTCTTTTATTGGATATCACCATTACCTCTGTCTTCCAATTATTCAAACTGAGGCCCATTTTGTCCACTTTCTACCACCACCGTATCTATCAATTCCTGTAGTTATTTCTGACTTGCTGGTGTCACTGGCATAACACAGGTTGTTTATATTATGACTACCAAACACAATTCCTGGCTTGTCTGCGATAGATCTCCTTATATATTCACGGTACAATGAAAACGAGCCAACTGATAGTACACATCCTTGTCGCACTCCCCTCCTTATGCTCTGAAATGCTTCCTGGTGGTTATTGATACCTATGGCTGCTGTTTGCTGCTAGTATATGTTCTTTATAATTCGCAAAACTTTTCTATAAATTTTTAACTTTTTCAGTAGTTTGATTATTTCTTCATGTTTCACCCAATCAGATGATTTGGTAGTCAATAAAGCAAAAGTATAGATAAGTTTTTACTTCTGCAGCTGTCCATTTTCATTCCAGGGACCCTATGCCTAGAAGACCCAGAGGATCTGCCTAGCAGTGTGTGTAAAGTAAGCATAGTCGAACTAAGGAATGCGAACAGCAGCTATACACCAGTCTGCTCAGCTAGTTAGGACCGATTACAGGTGAATATGTACGCTGAATGGTGTAGTCCTTGAGTAAAAGTACTACTTTGTTAGCCTCTACAAGGATTGTACAATTTAATTCTAGGACAACTATGTCTAGAAGACCCAGAGGATGCGTCTAGAAGTGTGTGTACAGTGGGCATGGCCGAGCCAATGAACAAGAACAGCAGCTATGCACCAGTCCACTGAGTTAGTTAGGGCTGATTGCAAGCTCTACGACTGAAGTTTAATGACTTTGTTACAATAAATTTTTATGTTTTAAATTTGCAGTGTTGTGAATTTAATTTAACACATAAGTTTTTTTTTTATCTGTGGACAGCATTCATTTTTTAAATATACATCTAGAAGTGGGAGCCACTATAGTGTGAGGACTAGATGCTCCGTCGGACACATAAAAATGATTACTAGATTCCTACAGAGAACAGGGTGAAGCCAGAGCACCAGAATGCACCAGGCACATTAACAAGTTAACCTCAAGGGTCAGAATGCTAAAAAAAAAAAGATGACTATTCTGTGCTACTTTATGTGAAGTAAACATTCAGCGTACATTTGACATTAACCATGTTTTTTTAAAGGATATTTTTATACACTATATACTTCGTATTTGGCCGAATAGTTGGTCCCTTTATTCGTATTCGGCCAAATAGTGAAGATCCCTATTTAGTACAGCCCTAATCGTAACCACCAACACTAAGAAAAAAATCCCAGCCCTTATCAGTGATTGAAACCGGAACCTCTAGCACTCGAGGCGGACACCATGCCTTTAGACAACGCAGCCCTCTCATGGCTAATTAAAAAACAATAATAGCAGAAGGCATGGTACCAGAAAGCAGGGGCAGGAGCTGACCAACACGAAGATGGGCACAGAATATAAGTCACTCTTTGAATATACACGAATGAAGGTTTGTTAGTTGTCAAAAGCATACATGTGAAATGGGGGAACTGCCGCGGTGTAGCGGCTAGATGCTCTGCCTGCAGATGAAAAGAGATTTTTACCTTTATATAACTCAGAAATCAGCATCACTCCAATATTTTGAACACGTATATTTACAGGCAGTTTTGGTAAAGTAGCCACACACACACACAAAGTAGACGAATCTATATTACACACACTAATTGAAATATCGGCAAGGGAAGCCTTGAAAATCTCTCTATATATATATATATATATATATATATATATATATATATATATATATATATATATATATATATATATATATATATATATATATATATATATATATATATATATATATATATATATATATATATATATATATATATATATAATAAGACAGCTCTCCACCAGAAGAGAACTAGTCCAGCAGTGAATTTCAATATACTATGGACCCCTAGAAATAGAAAGCTAGATAAGCTTAAGAAGGCTAAATAAAACGTCATGCAGCTCCCATCTGTCTCAGAAACTGAAAACATCAGTGATTTATTAAAACAAATGAAGTTGAACTAAGGAGAAGAATCCAGACCACTCTGTAAGGAGAGGAAAGAAAGACAAAATTGCCATTATTATTATTTGTGTGTGTGTGGATCACAGAAGATATATTTCAAAGCAGGAAACTTGGTGACAACTAGCAAAAATGATAGAAAAAGGGCAAGCAAAGAAATGGATGGCTATCTAGATGGCTGGGCTATATTCATGGGGCAGGACACGAGTACCACCTGTTCCGAGATTATGCTGATCGTTAAGATGGCGAATGATGACCTCTTAAGCTTTTCGGTGTGATGCATGATGATAATGGGCAAGCTAGACTTCTTCGGCTTTCTTTGCCCAAGCATATAATTACACTACTACAGCGGAAAGTTGCCATGATTTTATTTCAAAATCCGCTTCTTTTGTCACATTTTGTTTTTAAAAAAGTGCACCCTCTATTATAATAAATAGGAAATTAATTTTTTTTGACGCACCACAACATGAAGAAGCTGTATTAAAGGGTCGTGGCATTAGGAAGGTTGAGAGCCACTGGTCTAGACCAAAAATGCAGAAAAGAAAGTCCAGCCGCTTTTGAGGCAGAAGAGCAGGTTTTAATTTTTGAGAATTCTCTACAGGGGGATGCTATCGTTTACACATATGGTTCAGTAATTCGCCATGCAAGAAGCTCTTGGGCTTCTACAGCCCAGGTTAGAGGTAGAATTGTGAAGCAAGATTCTGGTTCTGTTACCTTGACCACAAGTAGTCTGACAAGGAGGTCATGGTAGTGAGCAAAGCAATAACATGGCTGGAGACACAGACCGTGCTTTCTCAGTGACTCAATAAGCATGCGCAGGAAGATAGAGAAGGGTTAGATTCGAAGACAGTGGCTGGAGTTCCTAAAGCGGTAGGGGCTGATACATGTCAGTTTCATTTTTGTCCCAGGGCACGCACACGTGCAAGGAAATGAGTAAGCTGATCAGCTTGAAGGTAAAGCTACTGTGGAGGGCGGACAAGATATGGACCATGCTGATATTCTGCATACTCTAGGAGAAGTAAGACACTATCGAGAACCAAGTGATGACTGTGAATCTGCAACAATGACCAGACTACAAGAATAGCATGTTAAAATGGATGTGGCCAGAAAAGAGCACTATGCAGGTAGCAAAAGACGAATGAGAAACCAACAAAGAACTAGTATTGTGAGCCTCTACTGTACTCTGCACGCTGCTTGTTTTACTAAAAAGGGGATCCGAGCACTTAGGGACTGAATGGTTTATTGTGCAATCTGTCAACTAACTAATAACATGCAGTTAATGTCAAATAATTTAAAAACCATTTTCCTACACGCGCACGCACACACAATAACAGGGTCTGCCACACACGTATACAAATGAGCTGAAAAAGAAGTTTATAAACTATGCTTGGTTTCCAGTTTAACCCAACCTACAATAGGCGCCAGTTAACGTCCTGTGAAATAGATGCAGCCAGAATGACGCTGACCACATCGCCCATCGAGTCTCAGTTTGTGTGCAACAGGTCAAACATCTTATGCCCAAGGTGTGAAAATGGTCCTTTAGATACCATTTGGTTTTGACATATTGTGACACAGTTGTCTCTGAAATTGTAAATGCTACATCAACTAACCCAGGTTCTACTTTTTCGGTCACAAGGGTGGCTGGTGATTGTTTATAGACGAGGAAAAAGATGGTCGTGTCGATAGTGGTTATGATGATGACGATGTCTTGCTTGCTGCATGCCTCGCACGTAACTCTGAGGCTTGTATACAAAATGTCTGGAAACAACTGTTCTTGTCTATACTGTATTTATTGTTGTATCTCAGCAATGTTACAAATTAACATCAGTGATATTTTGAAAGGCACTGTGTTCTTCCTAAATACTAAATACTTGTAGGTTCGCGTTGTGTTCTTTATTTCTAGTTACTTTGTAAACTGGTTCTATTGTCTCTGCCACCGGGCTACTAGTGCAGGTTGGGCTAAAAGGTTTGTTATCTAATGCCGTCTATCTACTTATCTATGCTCTCTTCCCTGCTTAATTGGCCGGTACTTGTTTCTTGTTCTCCTCACTCCGTCTCTAGCCTGTCCCTCGTCTGTTCTTTGCTGTCCTCTTTCTTCTGCCTCTGTCTATCTCTGTTTATCCTCTGGCCTGTCTCCGCCTGTGTCTTGTGTCTCCTCTCTGTGTCTATCCTCTGTCTGTCCCCGTCTATCCTCTGGCCTGCCTGTGTCTATCCTCTGGCCTGTCCGTCTCGTGTGTGTGTGTGTCAAAGGTTCCGGTCAATTGTTTATAAAGGGGTTACTAGCCTGCTCCCAGGGGGCTCCTATCCCTCATTGTTTTGCAGATTCTGCAGCTGGCCGGGACATAGGTATCTTAGTTAATTGCTTTGGTGCTGGACAGGGAAAGTCACATGATGTCAAATCAGACGACTCAAAGTACGTGGGAAACAAGAGTAGGGACCTAAGGGGGGGGATATAAGTGCTTGTTAAGCACAAGTTCTAACAATAAGGGTGAAGGCCACAAGGGGTCTTGTCGTGCAAACAGCACAACACTAAAAAGGGGGTAGGGGTACTGACTTTGCTACAATATGTTATCTCTACATCACGCTGCCGTGACCTGGCAGTTATTCCCCTCAGACACATCACGGATGGGAATTAAATCTGGAAAGGATTTCAACAGGTCACATCTCAGATGCCACTTTTTAAAAATAAAGACACCAAAACTAGCGCAAGATGAGCGAATCAGCTGTGTGTACATGTGCACTGGCACCAGAGACAACAGATCACATCCTCCAAGACTATCTCGAATACAACTTTCCTAGGCACAACTTTTGGCCAAGAGAGACGCTGATGGAAGCCAAACTTCACGGGCCGCTAAGCGAATTACAAAAGACTATGTAATTCATAATAGAGACAGCACTGAAGATATCGATAATTTATTTCAAGAGAACGAAAGAAGATACCACATTGTCTTTCTCTAGCACGATTCTCCATACTTTATCCAGCACATCTCATAGAAAATAACTATGTTCTTATATGACAGTCGTATTAATGATCTAATACTGATTATTTAGTAATTCTTTATTCGGTAAGCGTGTTTGTAACAACTAATTAATCAGTCGCAGTTACAGCGTCACGGCAAACGGGTCATCCCATATTTGCCTGGCTCCTGTGCCAGCAAAAACTATATTTAAATAGACTGCAGTTCCCACAAAACTAGCAGCATATATATATATATATACGTTAATTGCTTACGACAGTAGCAAAAAATGCTAATACAAACAGTCTGTTGCCCCTCCTGGCAAAAGTTAGGGGATCTGGAAAAGGGTCGTTTCGTTGCCAGAAAAGCTGTGTGGGACTGGCAACAACCTCAGATTCACCGTACTTGAAGTCACTCATAAGGTAACCCACAGACTCCTATAGTACTATTGGCTCTGGATTGCCATGGGGGACCATAATCAAGCCCTTC